TATATTTTTGGTAAATTTGAAAGACGCGTCTCTTTATTAAACACCAATGAAAACTTGAACGTTTTATCTGATTTTCTTATGGTTCTGTTGGTGAACCAGGAATAGTACTTTAATAGTACACTTTACTGTTTTACTACATATATTTTGAGTCAGCCATTTGCAATCAGTTAATCTGTTCAAATTGTAGACTGGACGAGCCTTATTGAAAAGATTAGTGATCTAAGGCTAGTTCAGCCACATCTAGTCAAAAATTTGGGTTTTTCTGGTCGACTAGTCTTCTCCCATCACTCACTAGTAGCTAACTAGACCTCATTTCTTTAGTCTCCAAGAATTCTGATAGGGTTAGATAGTCAGCCATTTGCAATCAGTTAATCTGATCAAACTATAGGCTGGAGCCTTACTGAAAAGACGACTAGTGAACTAAGGCTAGTTCAGAGAGATCCTGTACAAATTTGGATTATCCTGGTCTTCTCCCACGACTCACTAGTAGCTAACTAAACCTATCCAGACTCGTTTCTTTACTCTCCAAGAATTCTGGTAGGTATGCATTCAGTCTATGACACGTAGGCTACAGTTAAAATTGTATATAAATATCCCCAATGAAATTTAGCCACGATACAAAGAGTCCACGCTATCGCAAGATCGATACACAAAGTGAGTTACCATCAATTAGAGTTCCCTCATTCTGAAGAAAATAATTCGTTCCTGGGAAAACCGAATAATCAATGGCTGATTCATTTCCAATTTCGTCTGACGGTGATTCACCCATAGATTACCCGATGTTTCCGAATTATTTTCATCAGAACGAGGGAATTCTAAATTGACATCGATTCTGTTCATCAATCTCACAATAATGTATATAATAATATTTACTCTTTACCTTAGGCTTCCATGTTCAAGGAAACTTAGAAACGAATTGACCATAGATCGTACGATGTTTCCAGGAACGAATTATTTTCGAAATAAGGGAATTCTAATTGCAATCGACCGTGTAGCCACTTTGTATCATTACGAAATTTAATTAGGAATCGAACGACCGGTTGGCGATCGCGTAAGGCAAGAATCCTGGAGCGTTCCAAAGTCAGGAAGCTCATCGCGCAGAAAAGGATTTCGAGTTTTTTTTAATTACCCGCCATTTCGCCGTTGACTCTCAAGAAACTGAAGGTAGGAAACTCGTCCGTTACTCGCGGTAAAATGCGAGAAGGAAAGGTAACAGGGTAACTTGTGAATCCTCCGGCTCTCGTAATGCTTTCGTGAAGACAGGCAGGAGTTGCGGAGGTGGCCTTGACGTTTTTACGACGAGAATTCGTCTCTATAAAACTGTCTTGGCCTTCCTACGCTACGCCGTGTCTCTCTTTCTCTCGTCCTTACTTTCCAGACTAGGGTACAACGTTGATACAATGGGCTTGGCGGATGGCGAGAATAGCTGGTTGGTCAGTACAGACGTTACAGTACACCGAGACAAAGTGTTTCTATTAAAATCTAGTCGGGGCGAAACAATACAACTTCCTTTTCTTTAATAGAAAATCTTTTTCCCCCTGCTTCAGACACGGTAAATAAACTACGAGAAATAATTAACTTCGTCAGACCTACGTAGTGTACGTTAATTTAAGCTTGTATAATGTAATAATGTATAGTTCTTGTATAATAATGAGCTTGAAATAATATTCACGAAGTTGACTAGAGATAGTCTGTATCGTTACATTGTTGAAAATCTTCGGTCGATCTCGATTTAAATTCAAAATTCCCGCCATTTCCAATCACAGTATCTCCTGTATAGCTTGGTACAAATCAACATATAACAAATGAATAAAATTTCCATAAGCTTAAAATAATAATCACAACGATAGTCTGTATCATTACATTATCAAAATTCTTCAGAGATATTGTTAAATCTATCTCGATTTAAATTCAAAATTCCCGCCATTTCCAATCGTACTGACTACGGATGTAGCTTCATTTGGACCACGTAAAAACTCAATCGACGGGCCATAAGTTTAAAATAATATTCACAGAATAAACACAAATAGTCTGCTAATCTGTTAATTATTGAAATTCTTCAGATAATAAAATTGTTAATCTTAAGCGTTTGGACTCGATGTAGTCAATTCGTTACGTCTCGTTTCCAAAATTCTTTTTGGTTGCAAATAAATTATCTCGACACCCGTAGATTGAAAATTCTGATTAAAAATAGCAGATAACGGAGTGGACGTCGGATAGGAAAAAAACAACATGACGGGAGGTAGCAATTTGAGCAGTTCCGATAAATCTTGGTAAGATAATCGTGGTACATACAAACGCGGTAGTTTCCGTTTGTAAAGCAATCTCGGGTTCCCCTATTCAGCATCCTACCTTTTCCTAACTGGAATCGATGAATCAAGCGAGCGGTTACGCAGTTAACAAGATTTACGAGAATTTCGATCGATGGGACACGTATCCCTTAACGTCATTAGCAGCTGGAAACTTCTTCCAGCGACTTTCGATCGACCATTTCCATCTCTTGGGAGGCGAAGTTGTTCCCGCCGACGAAAAGTCCCATCGAGAGACTCGAGCCACGCTTGTCCCGCGCTTGGAATGCGAGTTCCTGGGTCGCTCGAATATCAGAGAACGCTCAGAAAAACGCCAGCTGGCTTCTTCGTGATGCGGAATACTTCCTCGAAGCGAGAACGACTGTTGTGTCTGGTTTGTCCACGTATACAGAATCGTTAGGCGCTTTAGCTATTGATGTTCTTTAGTTTCTTTTGAAAACCGCCTGAGCTCTTGTCGCGCTCAATCTAGTTACTGCTTCTACGGCTGTCGTTTAAAACAGCACTTTTTAAACCTTTTTCCCGATCGCGAACACTCTTCGTAACAAGAAATTATCAATCGTCCAGTTTAATGAAATTTTGTAATACTATGGAGCACAAAACCGGTATTTGACTCGTGACGAGACAAACTAATCTAATTTATGATATATTGCAATGTAATGCTTGTAAAACAATTTTTTAAAGTTCAGACAATTATGAAATCGAGCAGTGAAGTTTCCTGTTTAGAACGATTCCATACAAGTTGATATGAGAGACTATTTTGCTTGAATATGATTTTTTTATTCGCTAGAATCGCTGTTTGGACCACTGTACGGTATTTTTGTAATGTTTTATTCGTAAGAAATTGGACGGTATCCAAATGAGTACCACTAAAATTTGAATGGGATGGGTACTCGAGTATTGCAAATGCAAATTGACGTACGGGTTAAAGGAGTCCAATTACTATGAGAGAAGCTTGCTTGAATACCGAGTAGAATTTCTGTGGCACTTCGTTCGTAAGAAACTGGACGGTATTCGAATGAAAAGTACTCAAATCTTGCAAGTAAAATTGTAATGAATCGAGAACTTGAGTTAAAGGAGTCTCACCACTATAGAAAAGACGGCACTTTTGTAGTATTTCGTTCATAAGAAATTGGACGGTATTCGAGTGGGTATCACTAAAATTGGAATAGGTTGGGCACCCAACTATTAACATACAGGTTAAAGGAGTCATCACTATGGCAAAAATTCATTTGAATACCGGGCGACATTTTTGCAGTATTTCCTTTGTGAGAAATTGGACGGTATTCGAATGAGAAATACTAAATTTGAAATGAATTGGACACTTGGATATTGACATGTGGGTACCAAGTATCACTATTGCGGTACTTCGTTTGTATTGGACGGTATTCGAACTAGATTTGCTCACATTTTGGTAGTAAAATTGAAATGGATCGGGCACTAAGGTTACAGGAGTTCCATCACTACGGAAAAAATTCGTTTAAATACCGAGGCGACACTTTTGCGGTACTTCGTGAGAAGTTGGACGGTATTCGAATACAGGAATCACTAGAATCGAAATGGATCACTACTCGGGTATCGATGGGTCAAAAGAATAAGCTGTTTCGAATACCGTGGCGGCACTTTTGCGGTACTTCGGAAGAAATTGAACGGTATTCAAGTACGGGAATCATTAAAATGGGAATGAATCGCTACTCGAGTATCGATGGACCAAAGAAAAAAGTTGTTTTGAATACCGTAGCGGCACTTTTGCGGTACTTTGCAAGAAATTGGACGGTATTCGAGTACGGGAATCATTAAAATGGAAATGAATCGCTACTCGGGTATCGATGGATCAAAGGAAAAAGCCGTTTTGAATACCGTAGCGGCACTTTTGAAGTACTTCGTGAGAAGTTGGACGGTATTCGAATACAGGAATCACTAGAATCGAAATGGATCACTACTCGGGTATCGATGGGTCAAAAGAATAAGCTGTTTCGAATACCGTGGCGGCACTTTTGCGGTACTTCGGAAGAAATTGAACGGTATTCAAGTACGGGAATCATTAAAATGGGAATGAATCGCTACTCGAGTATCGATGGACCAAAGAAAAAAGTTGTTTTGAATACCGTAGCGGCACTTTTGCGGTACTTTGCAAGAAATTGGACGGTATTCGAGTACGGGAATCATTAAAATGGAAATGAATCGCTACTCGGGTATCGATGGATCAAAGGAAAAAGCCGTTTTGAATACCGTAGCGGCACTTTTGAAGTACTTCGTAGGAAATTGGACAGTATTCGAGTACGAGAATCACAAAGATTGAAATGGATCGTGCACTCGTGTATTGACATACGGGTTAAAGGTGAGACAGCGACGCGACGGGCATCGAGTGCGAAATGCATGAAACATCGAACTGACCGAGGCGAAGTGGAGGCTAGTAGCGAGTCCAAGAGATAGACCGGTGGACTGGACGCGGTGCATTCGCCGCGCAGGATGCGTATCGCATGCTAAATATAAAAGCAACTCGCTGGTAGAACGGAGCGGCGTGGTGCGGCGTATGCCTACGCCATCTTGCATGGAAGAGTCATTTGCGTTAGTCCTGCCCACAGAGGGCAGCCTGGCTCCGCCTCCAGTTGCCGGTTGTACATAAGCAGAACCATCTTTATTACCCTCGGGCACTAACCGTAAAGAAGCGAGTCGAGGGAAGCGGCGTTCGCGAGCGGGAAAGAGAAGTCCGAGCCGGGCTGCGTCGGAGTGTATTGTCGCGCACACTGTGAAAGAACCCTGTTCGTGAGCAAGTACCGAAAGCCGAAGGGTGGGCAGTACGTCTCTCGTGGAGATCGAGTGGCCGTTTCAGGGATCGGCCCGAAGAATTATGGTATGAAGTGGTGGGGCATGACGGTGCCGTAGGCATAGTTTGTCTTTATAACGTCTGCGCGGCCGCGGCTGAACTTCAAACGAGCCGCTGATGGCTCAAAGTGGCTGACCGGGATATAAATCCACGGCCCACCTCGCTCGTCTGCTCGCATTTTCTCTCTCCTTTGCTCTCGTTTCTTCTCTCCGCCGCGCTGGATCCTCATCCTTTCAAGCTGCTTTGGCTTTTGCGCTCTCGTCCTGGCTACGCTTCTGCCCTGATCTCCGTGTTCGAACATCACCGACGATTCGGCTTCTTCTCCCATCAGGATATATATTTCTTCTCAAAACCGTCCGCGTACCAGTGGGTCAAACGAGTCTACGTACAGCACGAATACTCTGAGTACTTTGGAGTTATAACGAGTACAGAATTACAGGAAAAATTTATTTTACTGTATTCGGAATTTGCTCAAACTCAGGGACTCAATACCGGTATTATTTCAGTAAACCTATACCGAAAGAATACCCAAATACCGGTACTCAGAGTCTGAATACCGTAGTATTTTGAGGTATCATTTGTATCCAATTTTATTTTATTATGTTATTAGAAAATTGTAATGGAAGTTGGATGAATCCCGAATGTAGTAGAATGTAAACAGTTGCATCATGTTTCGCTGAAAAGCAACGATTAAGTCCCCAGGGAATCTACCTCAGCGGATATTTAAAATTTGTTACGTGGAAGATAGTGAAAAGAAAATGGAAAAAAACAAAGGAAAAGGGCGGAGCGAGAGTTGCAGAAAAGTGGGAAAAGATTTCTGGGTGGTTGTTGGACGCCTCTTAATTTATGGTCGGTGTGGTCCTCACCGTCGAACTGGTGTCTAGAGTACGTATTTCAATTGTTGGAGTGCAGCTGACATTGGCTGCGGTTCGATAAAGTTTCCAGTAAAAATTAATATCTTATAACTATCCACGTCCTAAGTGACTATCGATAAATTGAAAAATCCGAACAAACTACTTGAGCGACTTTGTTACAATATTAACTATTCTAAGAAAATTAGAAATTATGTGTCGAAACAATTGTTTTTTTATTATGATACATTGATTTCTTTAAAAAAAGGGGAAGTTATGGTAGTTTTCACAGACAATTGTTTAAATAAAATGGCGGGGATCGGTCGTCCTGTGGCAGTTTGTCCCGGTTGAGCGATGTCCGGTGCTATCGCGAGGAGCAAAGAGTTTAACCAGCTTTTTCTTTCGCACATTTAACATATCTGGCATTATCAGCGGACTGCTAGTTGACAAAGCACGATCATTATTCAAAAGGACGCGAGCGTGGAGGGCGACGAGCAGTTTTGTAGCGGAAGACATTGGACAAATGGGGTTGTTCCGTGGACAGGCAGGTTATCTCGGTCAGTTGTCGAGTAGCCACCCCACTAAATCACTCAGTTCTCGCCCTCCAACCCGACGACCCCTGCCGTTGGCACCCTCAATCTCGATAATGTCTGAAAATCTCGGCGTGTCACACTCGTTTTGAATTCTTTAAGAATTGCTACTTTAAATCTACCATTTTCCGACAGGGCAACTAAGATATACGCCCCCCTACGATTCTAGTCACCAGAACGATTTTCATTTCAAAATCTATTTGAAAAAACATTGCGGCCTTTCGTGGTTATTAAAATGGAAAATCGAACCACGATTATGTTTTATTGTTTAAGAGAAAATAAAATTAATAATACGGCTTGGAATCGTGTTGTTAATTATTGCAACGGAATTAAATATTTCACAATTATTACTTAATAAAAAAATTGTACTTAAATAAATATAGAATAATGTGTAAATGTGAAAGTGTCTTCGTAAAAGTAGAATTGAAATAAATTGAAGGAAATTTAGATGTAATATTCCCTCGTTAGTTGACCGAACTTTTCTCCCACCAAGAACGTTTACTCTATTTCAAGTAGAAATATCTAAATACAACAATTTTGCGTTCTATTCTCGCCTGGTAAATGATAAATATTCGCTCGATTTTGCCATAATTCTTAAAGAAGGTTACCGATTATCGCGTATTACAGTTATTATGCCCCGATAGCGAAACGGAGTGCATTAACTGTTGAATGAAGTACGGTGGACAGCGCAAGGATAGTATGAAATGCATTACCGTTTATTATGTGCTAATGAGTGTGCATAATTCTACAAAGACGTATTCTACCAGAGTGCTTTTAAATTGCTTTGCCGAGCTTCGTAGTACACATCAGTGAAAGTTTCCTTTGATGCATATTTAACAACGCGTAAAATTCAAGAATGTTAGGTTCTATTAACCTTCTCTTTATTATAGACGAAGAGAATTTCCGATTTTACGCTCGACTTACGCTCGGGCATAAAGTGTACCCTCTATTATTTATTTCTCAACCGTTCTCTTATTATTTATAACCTGCAGACGAGATAATTGAACAAACGAATTCCTTTTATAGTTTTTATTTTCTTTTAAAACGTGTTAACGTGAAGTTCCAGAGTCGTCGACGACAAGCTAGTGTGCCTCGGAGCCCCCAAGATGTGCCTACAGGTTACGACGGCCCTGAGTATGTCGACTAAAGCAAGGTATTGAATATTTACGTGCTAAATAAATACGACAGAGTTTCGACCTAAATATGTATTTAATTAATGTAGTTTTACAAAACGAAAAAAACATGAGACGCTCAGAGGGTGCAATAAACGAGTGTCCTTCTCAGATAGTACTGATCTTTGCAAGGGAGGGGACTGCACCAATGGATACAAATTTTCATTAAAAATACAGGCAATGCTTATTGTCAACACAAGGAATACCAGTTGTATTGTCCTGACAATTAAATGTTTTACCTGGTTGTATACTACGTAACGAAAGTAGCGATTTCCCATCAATCAGACCATCATCGAAACAGAAATTAATCAGGTAGAGTGCAAAGGTACGGGATTATCAGCTTTCATATCAACACTGCGGTTTCGCCCTGTCGGGATCCCCGAAGTCCTCACCCACACCCCCGTTTTGGATCGGGGGTAGGATAGTGTTGGCGGCACGGAAATGGATCGTTGGCCTCGAGGGTGTAGGTGGATACGTACGAATTGAGAAAGGGTGGGTTTTCTCTCTGTCTGTTTCCCTCCCCGGTTTTCTCTAGCTTGCGTTCGCACTATCTGCTCTACTCTCACCCTGTCGAGCTCGTAAAGTAATCGGGCGTTTATTCGCCACGCTGTCGGGGACAAAGTGTGCTGCGCTCCCTGTCGACTGCTGCCATTTGTCTTCCGACGAGGAAACCTAAGACTACGATCCTTTTTCGCTGTTACGCGAACACTATGAAAGGTTAATGCCAAAGATTCCTCGAAACTTTCCTCCTCCTCGTCCCGATCGAACGATACACACCACTCCCCGAAAACTCGTTACAAAATCCCTCTGTGGAGCTTTGTAAACAAAATGGGAAATAAGGGATAATAATTATTTGGTCGATCGAAGTAATGAAATCAGGATGGCCAGGAATTTTGGGGACTCAAATACTTTGGTTAATTTTTTTAATGTGATCAAGATCTTATTTTTCTTATTTACCTTGGTTTCCCTAATATTAATTTAATTTTAATCCAAGCTTAGTTTGATTTCTCAAGTTACTCATTCTCTAGTTATTATTCTGATTTCTCAAGTTTTTCTTCGTTATCCGGCACCGGGTTATCGAAATAACTAATAGAAGGTGAACAAATTTTTCGACGAAATTAAAAAATTTCAAATCATTCTGGAAAAATTATTTTCAGTTGCGGGAGTCAGTTGCAATCATTTTTGGTGAATACACATATCTCCGAAATCCTACGCATTTTCGAGAAAAAAATTCAGTACGGACGGAACTTTAAACGTTAATAACTTTTTAAGGAAGCCTCCATCAACAAATTGATATTCTTGATTTTCGTCTTATGTTGGCCTCTAGAATCTCCTATTACAATTTGTCCCAAGGTTGGCCGAATACCCTGTATAACTTAAAATTTGTAATGTATTTTAATAATTGTTTCATTTCCGAGATCCATGAATATTCAGAAAGCAATAAACATTAACCAGATATTGATATGACAAAATTGATTTTTTGCCAAAGTGTCCGGACCCGGCCCTTGGTGCACCTCCAGGATTCCAGCTCGGGCCCTCGTGTACCTTCGGAAACCCAGCCCCGACCCCCGGAGCACCTCCGGGTTTACATACATACGAATAATAAAAAAAATTTCTTTTTCTTCAATAATTAAAATCTGATCAGGGTACTTTGGTTATGTGCGCCTACATAGGTCGGAAAGTAAAAATGCCTGGGCAGTCGAGAATCTCGAGTCGAGATTCCAAATCGTATGCCGTTGACGTGAAGTCGGATTTTAGTTGTTCAAGAGCGAGAAGGCAAATATGAGCTTTTCTCTCTCGACTCCCACGAAACGGTCCGAAATTACTTCGAGTCGCTACGGAGAATCGAAAAAGAGGGCATGTATCAGTTTGCCTTTGTCGACTCTTCAAAACTCTACGAGCTCTCGTACGCGTGATCTGGCATAGTGTGAGAAAATGCCTTCGGTGCACTTCTGGCATCTCTGGATTTATGTAAAAAAATATTTTAGAACGCTCATTCAATAGTGAATATATTTCGGCGAAAAAAAAAATTCCAAATCGTTCTGAAAAAATTATTTTCGGTTGCGGGGTTCAATTACGATCATTGTTGGTAGATAGGCATACTCCCGAAATCCTACGCACTTTCGAGAAAAAAATTCGAGCAAGTGCTGAAATTTTTCGGTGAAATTAAAAAATTTTAAATCGCTTTGGAAAAAATATTTTCAGTTGCAGAGGTCAATTACAATCATTCTTGGGCAATAGACATATCCTCGAAATCTTAACCATTTTCGAGAAAAAAATTCGAGACAATTTTTAATTTCCAATATTATGTGCTGAATCTGTCCGCGTCAGTCTGTTCTGTTTGAGGCGATTTGTTATTGTTTGTTTGGGAGAGTTTGCTTTTATATAGAAAAGTTTTACCCATCTTTCAAGGATATTCCATTATTGCACACGATGAACGATCTCTATAATAAGAAATATTCGACAACGTATGTACAGACTAGTTTTGCTTCTGATCGACAGTTTCAGCTTCAGTCCTGACGACCAACGTTCATTCCAAGATATTTGCGGTCGTCGGATGGAAGGCACCCCGAAATAATATTGAAATTTCCCGAAAGGCCTCGCGTGCATCGCGTGGCACGCGTTCAAATTGATTGTCGGCGTAGTTTTCTGGCAGACTCGTAAATGGAGCCGCAAGCTCGTCAAGCACCGAGCGGACACGAAGACAAATGAGGGAACGCTAATTGCCGCTATCGTTCGGCAGCGATTCCCCGCGAGCATTTATCATCGGAAAGAAGTTCCCGTGGCGTTGGCCTTGGGCGAAAAGTTGAAAGAAGGGATCAGAGGGACGCAGCCCGATTGCTTCTTCGTAACTCTCTTTCACTCCAGAGAGCCGGATTGGTATCGAAGCGATATATCTCGGGATTGGCTTCGCAGTGGCGGATAGTCTGCATCGAAGCAACGATAGGGGAAAGGGGTGCCACCTTGATAAACGAGCCCATAAATAACAGTAACGTCTCCACCGAAAACTCGGCCGGGTAAATGTATATCCAGAGGCGGCGGCAGCCAACGGCAGCGGCGGGTACAGCAGCAATCGAGCGGTTGAGGGAGTCGCGGACTACGGCCAGAGAGGTAATTTAAGATCCTATTGAGATATTTATGGGATCATAAAGCGGAACTGGCTGCTTCTATCGCCGGCAGCCATGCGTGAGTCGCGGTCCCGCAAGACACAGTAGTTTGTATCTTTGTTTATAACCGACTTAGCACTGCTATCTTTTACTTTATTTTCGTGTGCTCGATCAAGCCACGGTCGAAATCGCCCGAGACGCTACCGTTCGAATTTATTACGAGGCGACCCAACTCCCGCGACCCCGGGACCAACCCGACTACTCGCTTCCTTCGACGTTCCCCTTCGTCCGACGCGGATTTAGACCCTGCATTCTCGCTAACCGGGATCATCCATTCACCGCAAAAACTGTAAACATTGTTGTTCATCCTCGAATACTCCAAAACGAACAACTAAACGGAGTTCTACTTTTGACGGAATCGAAATATGCATCGCGGAGGAGGCAAAACTATTCCAAAACTGAAGAATATAATATCAAACTAGTGGGATTTTCTTTTTGTTAGTGTTTCAAAGGTTCTTCTAGAAATATCTATCTAATAGAACATTTAAAATCCTGCAATTTACTATTTTTTTTTTTACTTGTGCATTTGCTTCGATTCTATAGTAGAATAGTGTTGGGTTACATAACAAGAAAGTGGATCAACTACCATGCATTTAAACGCTTGAATCGTTTTTTAGGAGGAAAAATATTTTACAACGAACAAGCAATAATGCCTTCGAGGATCTCATCCAAACACGTACAAATTCAAAAAGAGACAAATGTACAACGAAGAGCTTATTTTACATAGTCTAGTGGGATTTTCTCCTTGTCAGTGTCGCGAAGGTTCTTCTACAAATATCCATCTAATACAACATTTAAAATCCTACAATTTTCTGTTTTTTTTTTTATTTGTGCATTTGCTTCTTCCGTACTATCGTACAATAGTGCTCGGTTATATGACAGAAAATTGTATCTGGAGAAGCTCAATTGCCCTTCAGCCAACTATCAAGCATTTGAACGCTTGAATCGTTTTTTAGGAGGAAAAATATTGTACAACAAAGAAGCAATAATGTCTTCGAGGATCTCATCCAAAGACACACAGATTCAAAAAGAGATAAATGGACTCGATTTTAACGAAAATATAATTGCCAAGAGTTGCATTTTGAGTGTCGAGATATCGAGATGGATGAAACGAATTTTCAAAATTCGTCGTTTCCGAAGTAGGAGATTTTTTTCTCTACCGGTTGTGGTGTTTGTTTCGCCCAAGGCGCCAAGCCTATCGCATCGAAACTACAAGAGAAGCCGAAGAGACGGTTTACGGCGGTAAAGAGTACTTGTCCGTGTGGGTTTCGTGTTGGTAACGAGCGGATTATACTCTTCGGCGTGGTATCAGATGGTCCCGTACCTGGTTCCATGGTTGTTAATTAGGATGGATGCCCACGCCTTGGGCGACTTTTACGAGCGGATACGGCGCGAACCGAAATAGCGCATCCGACGTTAACGCGCCGACCTTCCTTCGAGGAACCGTGGCAAGAATCTCGATAAGAAGAAAATACTAAAAAGAACGACGCGCTCGACTATTTAGAATTATTTAGATGAGTTCCAAAAATCAGATAACACGAACCCGCGGACCGTGCGATCCTTTTGTCGGTGCCAGGATGGCTACAATATCATAACCTTTCGCTATATCGAGCAGAAACAAATTGTCTAACCAGTTCCATTTTCTCTGGACTTACCCCACCATTTTGTTCCTTTTCACCGCCAAACAAATCACTGATATTCACGATGCTGTATTTAATTGTATTGCCATCGAAAGATTGCAATCAAAGCCTTAAAGAAGTAATCATTTTTAATTTCAATATTTCAATTACTGTGTTTATTTCCTGGTAAGCAACATGGTGGTGGACCATAATGGTGTAAGTCCACCTAATGCTCTATTATTAATACTTCTACATAAAAATTAAAGAACATATTATATTGTACGTTAAAAATTATTATTCATTAAAAATGTATTCATTATTAAATTCTTACTAACTGATATGTTTCCGACATTTCATTCCAGATTTTAAACATCCTTCAATTATTTTCATACAGAGATATTTTTCAACACTTTTCTACACTTTTAAATGTGTTTTTGTAATGTTAATATTTATCTTGAATCTTTTCAATCAACGATTGCAAAACATTATTTTATGCGAAATAGCTAAAATGTGACATGCACTATGTCTCTATTTCACTCTAGAATTTAAACATCCTTCAATTTCTATATACAGACATTTTATAACGCGTTTTGGAGCTTGTAGAAGTATTTTTTGTAACTTTAATATGTGTCTGGATTTTTTTAAACGAAGAACGTAACTTTTATATGTGTCTGGATTGGTCTGGATGGCTCTGAACCCGCCAAATATCGAAGCAAATATCCGGGTTAAGTCAATAGCCGGGCCCGGAAGGCAGAACGCGCGCATAGGAAGATGAACGCGACGATAGAGATTTTCGCAAGCATCGGGGCAGAAGGCACGGTCGGCCGTAAATCAGCATCAATTGTAATTTTTAATCCTTTGGCAGATCGACGAGCCGATTCCATTCGACAAGATCGAAAGAGTAACGAGCTGGCGATACCAGGCGTATCCTCGAATGAAATCGTACGGCTTGACCGTAGTAAATCAACTGTCCTATTCCAATCTTTGTTGGCGGCGCACTCGGACACAGCCGGCGGCTCTATCTATCGGCAACAGGAGGGAGGGAAGTAATCTGGTGAGTCGTAAAACGTGTCAGAATGTCCAACAAACACCTACTCATTAGCCCAGGTAGGCTGGACCGTGGCAGGCAAGATTGCACAAGCACGCATTAATTCCGTGTGGGTAAGTTACGGTCCGGAGAGAGCATAATTCACCCGAGCCCAAGAAAGTGTGGGTCTACCTCTTTCGGACGTGTTCGTGTAAGGGCTTGGCTCCTCGTTATTTTATCGGCTGCCGGCCGCCTCCAAAGTCTTCGGGCTAATTGAAATCCACTTTCTTAAATTCGGAAAGACCAGTGCTCGGTACCGGCCCGGCGAAACGTATAGTCGAGTCCTCCTATCTTGACGTCCCGGTATCTTGCGCTAAAACATTAAACGGTACCCGCCGACCGGAAAGATCGATCTCGTCGATTTCGATTAACCCACCGGGAGAGTTCCGAAAAACTTCTTGTCGATTTTTTTCGCCGCTTTTCAATGCGATATCATTACCCATTTTGACCTACGAAGGCCCCTATTCGTCTGCTTTATCAAGAGGAAATACCTTTACAACTTTCAAAAAATCGAATTATGAAAGTTTTAGCTAGCAAACGTGACTCGTTTCGGAGCAGGTCGCCATTAGGGGGTGAATTAACAGTTAATAAACAGTAAAAAGTGAACGTATAGGCCATGTCGAAAAGGGAATGGGTTCGAGATTCCGAAATATTCTGGCAATAAACTTCTAATTTAATTATCCAATAAACATAGTTTAAATAATTATTTGTATCTTGAAATGTTAAAGAATATATGTGGAAAGTTTTACCACTTCTCGTTTTACCATTTTACATGAGCCTCCCCCCTTAATATACACAAATTGCCTGTAGGTCAAAATAAATTATATTCCTACATTCTGGTGAAAAAAGTAATGATTCTTAAAATGAACACGTGATTCGTAAATTGAACATAGATCTCCTTGTAGCCAATGAAAGATATTTAAAAAACAATATGAATTTCGCCTCTCCTGTACAAACGAACACGCCAACTCTAAAGCGACATTCATTGTAAGAATCATTACTGAGGTCCCAAATTGGAATTGTACAGGGGATTATTGTCGCCTCCTAGACACTCTGAGCAAACTTTTAACGATGTTTTGCTTAATATCGTTAATGATTATTGTTCCCAAATCATCCGGAGGTTGGCCAGGAGGTAGAAAGATTTGCGTCCTGCGTAGGATCGATATATCTTCGGGGGATCGGCCTCACAAGTCGGCGGGGGAAACAGAAATCACCGTTGAATCAGTTTCTAGGAGATACACGCTTGTCTCTCGCGGGGGCCCCGTCGCCAAGGCTCCATGGTGTTCCTTCTGGCCGTGGTGAACTCATAGGATTATGTGTAAGTGATTCGCGCACTCGTGTAGGTGCAGCGGTGCAGGAAGCTCCAACAGCTCGCTGTTGCAGCCGCCTCGTACGAGACCAGATAGACATCTTCGCCAACTCTGCCGCCGCCGTCTAACTAATTGGCTACTGAATTACTGGGCGACATGACCAGTTATTGCTTCGTACCTCACCTCGGCCGGGTATATCGGACCCTGGATCTCGCGATTCGAAAAGTATAGTTGGTTATTCCCTCCTTTTTCATCCCGATGTCTATTCCTCCCTCTTCGCCTCGTCATTACTATCCGACTTTCGCTTCTAATCGAACACACGCTCCTTCGCTCTCTTCTTCGCCGATTTCGTGCGACTCCGTGCTCACATTAACGGGCTATTTGGCATTTCTTTTATCGACTAGGATCTTGCGACGT